GGCCAGTATTTTCCCATTTGTTCAGGGAGTTGGTCCTGGGGGGAGGGCACTAAGACAATAGCCTGCACATTCCAGAAGGAAGAGGAAGAAGAGAAAAAAGAGAAGCAATGATAGTTGATCATCTTGATACACCCCTAATTCTGCCCTATCCTCCTAAAGACCGAAAACTACAAATCTAAACAGGAAAACCACATCCTTACAAATGGAAGGTCCCACTGGGGAATACATTCACCTCCTTGCTGGGAATCCCAGAAGAATCAGCAACACAGATAAAGCTGAAGACTCCCTGGAAAACATTTAGACCAGGGGTGGGGAACCTTCCACCTCAAGGCCACATGCCCACTAGGTCCTTAAGTGCTGCCCTTTGACTGAATCCAAACTTCACAAAACCACACCTGATTTAGACTAACCCCCTCATTGTACAGATAAAGCAAGAGGCTTAGAGAGAAAAAACTTGCCCAATGCTACAATTAGAAAGCAGCAAAGCCCAAGCTCGAGTCCAATGATCTTTTCACTATGCCATGTTTCTCCTACCCTCCTTATTGCTCTACTAACTCTTCTCTTACACTTCCTTACTCCATAGCCCCGAATTCAATAAAATAGAGCTCCCACTCCCTGCTCTAAGCCACAAGGACACCAAACTCTTCCACACCAATCCTCTGCTTCAGATGCCTCTGTCTCTCCTCTCTTACTCTGCTCTTCTTTTCCCAAACCACTTTCTGCTCACAGTATTCTCCCTTTTCCTGGACCCCCACCAAGCCACTCAGTGCCTATTATTCCAAGCACCCCTCACACGAGGAAGTTGTCCTTAATTTTATCAGAAGTAACCCACTTTCCCATGAGTAACATCCTATTCCTTTCCCCCAACCATGTATCTCCCTATAGCACTTGAGGCCAAAAACATACACAAAAAAAAGTTTATCTTTAATACTTTGTGTTTAAGGGCTGTGGTGGTTTGTATACTCTCAAAGAAAAAAGACTTAGTCTCAAAAATGTTTTGTTCAGGACCTATACTACATATGGAAATAAATACTTCCATTTACATATGGAAATAAATACCATTCAAGTCAGAGAATTAGAGACACCTGAAATCTGACTGGGAAAGGACCAGTGGTGTTATTTTTTGTTTATTTCTTTTCCTTCAGGCCAGACCAGGCCAAAGAAAAGTAGAAGGAGGTGGGGAAGGGAAAGGATTCCCTATTTAAACATGGTGAAGGAAGGAATCTTGCCTGACTTAGCCTTCCTTAATGAGAACTGCTAGGTGAAATGGTTCTTTGGCAATCCTGTGATTGATTTTATCAGCATGGGTAACCCCTTCCACTGGCACAAATAGCAACCCCTTAACACTTGTTCATCTTATGTAATTCTTAACTATGTCTTTCTATAAATGCTTCATGGATAATCCACTCAACATACAGTTGGCCTTCCTCTCATTCTTTTAATATCCCAAAGATACCAATGTGCCATTGACTTTATCTGTTCTGCCACTTTAACACAAGTAGTTCATAGAATAATAGCTTTTTCCTCTTTCTGACAAAAGGAACTTGGGAACACAGGTGATAAACATGATGAAGATCCCTACATCTGGCCTGCCCATTAAGGTACTTAATATTCTAAATGAAGTTATACAACCAAACCGATTCCCAGGAAGCATCTGGTATGATGGGTTTGGAGTCAGGAGAGCTATTCATTTAAGGATTCCAGTTCTGCTTTTGAGATCTTTCTTGATTCCCCCCTCCTGCTAGTGCCACCCCCCCAAAATTACTTTATGTTTATTTTGTATATATTTCTACAAGTATATGTTATATCCCTTAATAGAATGTAAGTTCTTGAGAGTAGGGACTTCCATTTTTGGTCTCCATTCCCAGGGTCCAGCACAGTGACTGACCCCTAGTTGGTGCTTAATAAATGTTTGCTGTTTGATTGCTTGATTAGTAGCTTGTTTAACCGCAGCAAATAACTTAAATCTGAGTAGCCATTCCTTCATCTGTATTATGGGGATAATAATATCTTAACTACCAACCTCACGAGGTCATTATATGTAGAAATAAGTAAAGCATTTTGTAAACTGAAAAGCTCCATACAAATGTCCAGTTATGATGATTATTATCTGGGGAAATGGGAAACCATAAAAGACCATACCAAATACAGCCAGCAGGTGGGGGAGGAGTCACCCAGTGAACAACACGAGTCTATAGATATATATAAAGAGAGATCAGATGAGAATCCACAAGAGAGTTTTCTCAAAGTGATTGCCAGAAGCAAACACAATGTTGCCCATGTGCACAAGATGCTTTGAACCAAAATAGAAGGGTAGAGAGAGCTGTTACACTGGCAAAATAAAGACACAGGGCAATGTTTTTTTAAACCAGAACACATCAGAAGAGTATCAACCAATGTGTGACTTACTCAGATCCTGGCAAAAGAGTCAAAGGAAATTGGAGGAACTGGCCCACAAGGGGGCTGCAAAACTACCAGAAGTTCCCTATTTTGCTCTAGTTGCCTCCTTGATAAAATGCTAGCAAGACCCAAATGATCTCTATGTTCCCTTCCAGTTCTTACGTTCAATGAAGTCTACAAATTTATGATATTCCAAAAAAAAAAAAAAAACTGTCAACCAAGGAGGGAAGGAGAGGAAGAAAAATCTCTGTCCTAGTTCCCATGAAATCTGAACCTGTGTATTAAGAAGCAGTGCCCAGAACAAGAAACACTCTACAACAGCCAGACCACATCTGGGGTACTGTGGTCAGTCCTGGGTGCCACGTTTCATAAAAGACATGGATGAACTGGAAAACATTTGGAGGAAGGTGGCTCAATACCAAGCCATAAGAAAATCCACTGAAGGAAGCAGGGATTGTTTAGCCTGGATAAAAGATGGAGAATATGGTAGCTATTTTCAAGTATTAGAAGGACTGGTCAGGTAGAAGGGTTTCAACTTGTTCTGTTTTGGCCCCATGGGCCAAAACTGGGAGTAACAGGTAGAAATCACAGAGTAGTAGAGTTTGTCACCATATAAGGAAAAAATGGAATGGGTTGTCTCAAGACAGGGAATTCCTTCTTACTAAAAGTCTTCAAGTAAAATCTCAGTGACCACTCAATGAAGATCTCACAGAGGGGATTCTTGCTCAAATACCAGTTGGACTATATAGTATCTCAGGTCCTTTCTAATGCTGAACTTCTGTGACTCAGTAGCACAGGGCCTGGACCAACTTAAGCCATCAGAAATATTCTGGGAAAGACCCACACAAATCACACTGGACAAATTTCTTTCTACAGAGTGGAAAGCAAACTAACGTTCTTTGCAGAAAAGGTGCCCTTACAGATGAAACAAAAACTCAGGGGTTCCCACTGACTCCAATCATAGGCCTCTCACAGAGATTCTCTTTTGTTACATGGAGACAGCAGCATAAAATGTCAAGAGTTGGAATGGACTTTGGAGATTATTTAATCAAACTCCTTCATTTTATATATGAGGAAATTTAAGGCCCAGGAAGGCTGGGCAAATGACTTGCCCAACTTCACACGGTTCAATTCATGGCGGAACTGGGATGAGAACCCAGGTCTCTTGATTCACAGTTCACTGCTCTTCTCATTATAGGGCATGGGCATAAGCCTCCCCCCACCCCTCACACTGCCTTCTTAATCCTCCATCCTCCTCATCCCTCTCACATTCAGTTAAAGTGGGTCAGTTCAACACAGATACTGGCTGCCAAAGCACAGCCACCCCCTTCTAACTTAGCTCTGCCCCGTGACCATGAACTCAGCAGTAACTTTCCCATGTCCCCAGTGATCATCCTGGACCCTGGGCAGCTGATATCCTCTAGCAGACAGGAGGAGACACACCCACCTTGGAGCGATATCATACATTTGCACTGACCTCCACTGGGTTGGGGGAAGGGGTGAGAACTTTGATGAAAGAAAACAGTAGAGATCAAGGTGAGAGATGAGTAAGACATGAATGTAGGAAAGTTTTCAAATTTGCCTCTCTGGGATTTTTCTTTCTCTTTAAATACATCTCCATTCAGAATGACATGGGCACTACAGAGTGGTTCCAGATCTTCCCACCCCACTCTGGCACCCTTGGTTGAAAATTATTTCTTTCCATGGACACTGCTCAGGCTGCCCATACACCACTGCAGTCCCTGGGATTCTTTCTCTCAGTCTGCCAGGTCCTGAGACTCAATGAGAGGAGCTTCCCGCCAGCTGGCTCCACCACCCGAATCCATTCCAAACCCTCAAAAGCAGAACCACACAATCACAGCACCCCCTCCTTTCCACATTCACACACCTTCCACTATTCTCCCTCCTCTGCAATACAAACTCAACATGGGGCATTTATCAGAGTCAGAAAGACCCACTAACCCAACAATCTAGAGGCACCATTTCAATTCAATTCAACAAATATTTCATTAGATTTGTTTGAAATTTGCATTTCTAGCTTTCTCCTCCCTTGCCTTCCAAAATGCTATCAAAAATAAGCTTTGAAAGCATGACCCTCCCCTCATACCCTCAGGAAAAAACAACTTGCTCATCTTTTCAGGCATCAATGTTCAATTATATTCACTAGTTTATAATGATGATATATCTCCCTTTCCCCTTCTATGCTTCTGAGGCCCCACTCAAGTCTCAATAAGTATCTTCCCTGGCCACCCACCAGGAGACAAGCCTAAGTATATCTTTTTCCCCCTTTTTTAAAACAGGACAGAAAACTTCCAAGAGCCAAAAAAAAAAAAAAAAAAAAAAAAAAAAAGATCCCATCTTTCCTAGAAGCCAAGTAGAACTAGACCTGAGTAAAAAAGTCTCCATTCAAGCACCCACTAGGACGAAGGAGGGAAGAAAGCGGAGGGCAGCAGAAATGATTAAAAAAAACAAAAACTTACCATCATTGTTCAGAGAAAGGAGCAATGCAGCAGAGGAGGGGAGTGGAGAGGACAACAGTCCGGCTCCGGGACCGAGACATGAGGAAAAGGCAAAAGAGGGAAGTAAGGGCAGGTACTCACCCAAAATATCAAATTGAACAGGAACATCATGTACTTCAAACAGCAGAGGCAACCTCTGGCCATGTTGCACTTCTTAAATTCTAGAAGGAAAACAAAGGAGAGGTCCAGGTAAAACACCACGTACTTGCTGCCCTTCGGGGCATTGTACTTGTCTGTTTTCACTCCGGCCTCAGCGTGGCTCTGGCCCCGGGTTCGGGAGCCCGTGGTACCATAGAAGGCGCCTGCAGTGAAGCCCCGGCCCAAGGGGCGGCCCGAGGAAGAGGGCTTGGCAAAGTCCGAGTCCTTGCTGTCCAAAGATGGACTCCGGTGGATCGAAGAATCCTCGCTACTCGACTTCTCCATGCTCGCGTTGTCCCCGGGGGGCCGCAGGGGCTGAGGGCATCTCTCCCAAAGTGGAAAGCGGTAGGGGTGCTGAACTCCGCCGGACTGGGGGGCTTGGGCAAGGGAGGGGGGCTGCGGAAGAGAAGGGAGGGCAGGCTCCAGGCTAGGGACTCCCCCTTAAGCCCCCTCTTTTCTCGAGGCTGCACACTCCCTCTCCAGGAGGCTTCTCTAGAGCAGGCGTCCCTGCATTGCCGCTGGCTTGCTGATGTACCTTCCCACCAGGACGCCCAGTTCACTGCGGGCCGGCCCGCTCCCGTGGGGGCTGCGGCTTCAGCCTACCCGCGTCCCGCAGCCCCGACAGACTCATGCCTTCCCCTAGTCTCGGGGAATCAATCAGTTCTGCATAACTTAGCTTCTTTTTCTCTTCTTCCTTTCAATTTTATTTCGTCTTCCTAAGCAGTCAGTTCTCCTCTCTCCCTCCCTGCAAGTGGGTCCACGCGTGACAGAGGGGCACTGAGACCTCGGCTTCCCTTGGCACCCCGCCCCGCCACGGAACACGACCACTTTTTTTCTGGCTTTCTCGCCTCCCCCCTCTCCTGTTACTTTGCGGTAACAGCTCCTCAGGCTGTGGCCCAGGCTCTCGCCTGCTGCTAGCTCTCTGCCTCGCTCTCTCGCCGGTCAACGTGGAGCTGCTGGAGCTGTGAGCTCAGCAGCAGCTGCAACCTCTGGGTATTCCCTTAGAAATCCCTGACCTAACTATCAAGTCATAAATCGACCACCACCACCCCCACCCCCACCACCACCACCCCGGGTCCCTGTGGTCCCACCCCCTGCTCTGCATCTGGCCAATCGGCACTAGCCTGTCCCGCGGTGGGGGGTGCCTCTCCCCTAAATGACACAATACCTTTAATAGGATTAGCTTCTGCTCTTTGCCTATACAAGTGCACAGCCGAAAAAATCTCTCTTAAATGTCAAGGGCTCTCTAGCTGTTGATGAACTGGAACTGTATGTAGGATCCCTGCCTCTATAAACATCAGAAAAGGCTGGAGGGAGGGAGGTTGAGCTCCAAACAGCTCAGCGGAAGAGTAGGGGACAGCAAGGGTACGGAGGAGGGAACTCTAAGGATGTGTCCGACCTCTGCCGTTGCTTTGCTGCACCTGTGAGGCTTGGAGAAAGCCTCCCAGTTATATTTACAAGTCTGGTGTATGCTTGCACACAACACTTGTGGGTCTGAGAAATTACCCTGCAGAAGATGCACAAGGTTTGGGTACAACGGAGATGCCTGAGGAATCCAGTCTTAAGAACCCATCTGCACACATACACTTTGACACATGGTCCAACCCACTCCAGCCCCTGGGCATGCTTGGTCAGGAGGGGAAAGCAGATTTCTAAGATGGCTATCAGCAGCCTCACAAACCTCACTGATAAATAAGGGTTCATCCACTTCCACGCCCAGATAACCAACTGGGCTAGCCATTATAGTTATTAAAAACCAAATAAACTTGCTCCCCCATAAGAGGAAGCCTCTAGTCCCTTCCAGGAAGATCAAGAGCTGAGGTCCCACAGGTTGATGGCCTGAAAAAAATGTGTAAGAAACAAACCCCTTCTTAGAAATTTGGGATTGAGTCCTGGTTCTGACACTTCTAGCTGAGTTGACTATGTGAAAGTCATTTAACTTTGCTAAGTTTCAATTTAGTTAATTGCTTCTTTCAAAAATGGGATGAGACCTAAGATTTCATCAGTGCAGGAAATTCCTAGTGTCAAAACCGCTCTACCAATGTAATTCAGCATCTTCTCTACAATTTACAGGATCACAAACTTAAGTCAACAAGTATTTATTAATGCCTTCTATGTGCCCAGTATGGCAGGTAGGAGGCAAAAATGGATAGAGAATCTGGTTTGGAGTCAGGAAGACTCATCTTCCTGAGTTCAAATCCAGCCTCAGACACTTATTGGCTGGGTGACCCTGGGCAAGTCACTTAACCCTGTTTACTTCATCTGTAAAATGAGCTGGAGAAGGAAATGGCAAACCACTCTAGTATCTTTGCCAAGAAAACCCCAAATGGGGTCAGAGAGAGTCAGACAGGCCTAGAACAACTCAACAACAACAAAATGTACCAGGCACTGTGCTAAGCACTAGCTTTTAGCAGGGACTTTGGGGGTCAACCACCTCATACTAAAGATGAGGAAACTGAGATCCATAATGATAAAATGAATTGTTCAACATCACAAAGGCAGTAAAAGCTAAGACTCCAAATCTCTCCCTAATTTCTAATGCATAGTACATTAGTCTTATAAAATTGTCTGAGGGGATGAAAAGTGAAATTACTTGCCCAGGGATCTTCAGTCAGTATGTATGTGTTTTTGAGCAGGTGGAAGGAGTATGGCATGAACCCTACTTTTCCTAACTACTACAGCCAGTTCCTTCTGTACACCAAATTGGCATAAGGACAATACTTGCACTGTTACCCCCACAGGACTGTTGTAAGGATAATGTTTTATCTATAAATCTGAAAGCAATATAGAAATGTTATGATCTTAAAGCCATTAAATATTAGTATTATTTAGTTCTGTTAACAGTGGTCAGATGAGAGGAAGTTTGAAATTCCCAGTGGGCTGCTACTGTTGTTCAATTATTTTTCAGTTGTGTCTGACTCTCTGTGACCTCATTTGGGGTTTTCTTGGCAAAGATACTGGAGTGGTTTGCCATTTCCTTCTCCAGCTCATTTTACACATGAGGAAACTGAGGAAAACAGGGTGAAGTGATTTGCCCAGGATCACACTGCTAGTGAATGTCTGAGCCCAGATTTGAACTCATGAAGATGAGTCTTCCAGGCCCGGTGCTCTCCATCCACTGCACCACCTAGCTGCCCCCAGTGGGTCGTGGTTATAAGTAAATGCCCATCCCATTAGGAGCTATGTTTCCCATGAAGTCTAAGGCCCCAGGAATTTGTCCTCATAGAAAAGGACAGAGACTTTGAATTCCCAAGGGATGCTGTAAAGAGATGTCACGAAGGCAAAGAGACAGCTAGAAGGAATGTCCCTTGGGAATTTGAAGTACTGGCTCCCTGCCACTCCTAGGACCTTAAAAGCAGGGAGACCAATTAGGAAGCTATCACAATCATCCAGGCAAGAGATCTGAGTGAGGGTGGTGGCCATGTGAGTGGAGAAAAGGTGAAAGATATGCAAAACATCTTGTGGAGATAAAATCAACAGAGGTTGGCAACTGATCCGTTATGGAGTGTGAGGGAGAAGAAAAAATCAAGGCACAAAATTGGGGGATGGGAGTTTCATGTTTGAGGAATAGCAAGTAGGTCATTGTAGCTTAATCACAGCATGAATGGAGGGAGGGGGGGAATAAGGTTTAAGAAGGCTAGAAAGGTAGGAAGGAGCTAGTAAAGAGCTTTAAATGCCACCCAGGGGACTGTATATCTGAGCCTAGAGGTAACAGGGAGCCCCTGAAGCTCAGTGAACAGAGGGAGCAGCATGATCAGAACTATACTTCTGAAAAATCACCTTGGCAGCTGAGTGGTGGGTGGAATGGAGTGGGGGACAGACTTAAATCAGAGGGCCTGATTAGAAGGTTACTGCAGTAGCCTAGGCAAAGGGCAGGGATGGCATGAAGAAAGGTTGTGGCTATACAAGTAGAAAGAAGGAGGGACATACAAGAGATGTTGAAATGATAGACTGACAAGATTTAGCAATGGATTAAATATGTCAACTGAGAATGAGGTATCAAGAGTGATACCAAAGTTTTGGCCTGAAATAACTGAGGATGGTGGTACCCTCAGTAGTAATAGAATCAATATGACCAAGGCATGGATATTTCAGTCCTTTTTTCAGCATAATTTAAGATTGCTTATCTTTTTTCTTTTCCTTTGGAGGCAGTCGATTTAAATGACTTGCCCAGGGTCACACAGTGAGTAAGTGTCTGAGGCTACATATGAACTCAGGACCCCCTGACTCCAGAGCTACTGTTCTATCCCCTGTGCCACCTAGCTGCCCCTCCAAATTACTTTTCAGAATGGTAAGACCATTTCACAGTTTCTCCAAAGGTGCATTCACTTATAAAGGGAGAATTCTTGACCAAACAAAGGATAGAGAAGATCATAAAAAGGAAAATAGAACTACATAAAATTAGACAGCTTTTGCAAGAAAAAAATCAATGCAGCTATAATAAGGGGCACAGTTAACTGAGAAAAAAATCTCTGTATCAAATATCTGATAAAAATCTGTAAATCAAGATAAAAAGGAAATTAAAATAAATATATAAGAAAAATGAATAAGACATGATCCATGCCTTCACGGGGTATATAAGATAGCTAGGGGAGAAAGGACACACTTACACACACAAAAGTTAAATAACAATTCAAGGTGGTATATGAGTCACTACTCACTTATTCATTCAATAAATATTTATCAAGTATTTGTTTTATTGTTAACTATACAAGGGGCTCGAGAAGCTACTGTCCCTACTCTCATGAAGCTTTCAATCTCATACTAAGTGCTAAAATAAATGGCACATACGATAAGAATAATAGGGTATTTTTTAAAAAAGATGAATGTATTAAGAATTAGTATTAGACCTAAGGTTTGAAGGCTGGACAGATTCAAATTTTTTTAAAAAGAAGGAAAGTTTAATAGGGGAGAGGGTATGAGCACAGTCTTAGGAGTCAAAAATGATCATAGGCATTTTTTGATAAACAATAAAGGGAGCAACCTATTTCAAGCAATGAATTCCTATAAGGGATTAATAAGA